AAAAAAAAAAACTCTTCAAAATACTATAGCTAAATAATGTTTTGAAAAGCCCAATTTTCAGATGGGAGCCCAATTGCTATCACGAAATGCTTAACTGAATACAAGGGGCCCAAAAGCAAAATAAAAATTAGCAAGTGTTGTGACCCAAGTGAAGGGTATTGGACTTGGCTGAAACTAGTTATGGGCCTAAAATGCCAACCACATAGATGTTTCAAACTTAGTTGTTCGTGAACTCGATTCGCCACGTGCAAGCTCGAGTTCAGCTCGTTCTTTGCTTATTAAACAAGCCAACTCGAGCTGCTTGTTTGTTCTTTATAGATTTCGACTGAAGATTCGAGCCAAACATTTTTGTAAGCGCACAAATTGCTTCGCAAACAACTCATTTACAGTGTATAAATTATGATTTTATGTGGGGTTTTGTAGGAATGAGGAATTTTTAGGTTTTAGCTGATACAATGTGTAAATTTTACCATACTTCCATATATGAAATATCACTTTTTTTTTTTCCCCCATGTAAAAATACATTGACTTGTGGATCCAAATTGGGGTTCACTTTTGAATCATTCTTGGTAGAAACAGTCAAAAGCATATATGTTATCCTTTTTGGTTATATTCCAAGACAAAAAGATAGGTTCTTTGGTCTTTCTTCAAAGTCAACAAGAAAAGCATGCTTCTAAGGTTGTTGGCATCCATTTATTCCATAATTTTGTCATATTTTCTGTCAGATTATGAATAATATTTGCAAGTGAAAGAATCAATATATTTCATGTGGGGAGCTTTTATTTTTCTTATTCGTTTGTAGTGTGTGTTGTGGTATTTAGGCAGCTTTAGGTAGTCCTCCTATTCTGGCTAGTGAGCCGGTTGTAATTACGTGTTTAATGAATGAATTTTGCCGTTTCGAAAAAAATAAAAAACCATGTAACTGACCATCATCATACATTTTTTTTTTAAATTTCTTCAAGAAAAAAAAAATGATCTAATAGAAAAAATTGTTATTTGAAGGACCCAATTGGAAATTTAAAACATGGAAACCTATGCCCCTATTGTTCACAAACCGTGTTGAAAAAGATGCACAAAATGGTTTGAGATACCATCCATTTGGGTATCTTGAAAACTATTCTTAGTTGATTCTTTTCTTATCATTAAAATTTAGGAATTAACAAAATATTTTAGTATCTTTGAGAAATATTCTTCATTAATTTCTTTTTCTTTTCAATAGAATTTAAGAATAATTACTCAAATATTCATTTCTTTTTACAGTAAATAAGACCATTGTTTAACGAACTCTAACTTCTGCAGATATGCACACTTTCAGATTGAAATTTCATATTAAAAAAAAATATAAAATAGATAAAATTATGTCATTTTTGTCACAAATGTATAATGAGTCGACCAGTCTAACGATTAGACCGACATCACAACAGAATATGTGTTTATCGTATTATTTCGTGGGCTTCTAATTCTATTGTCCTCTTGTTTCGGATCAATTGCCCTTGTCATTCTGTATTTCATTATGATGAAACATAAGAACTTTAGCTTCATCAAAATTTAAAAGACTTGTATGTGACATACACAATAATGAAATAATTTTAAGATGTCATCCAATTTATGTGATATATGCTAAAATTAATAATAATGTAATGTAGCTAACCATTAAAATTGGTTTCATTTGATCATGATTTGCACAAATAACATGCATGCTAATAATCAATTAAATAAATTTAAAAAAAAAAAACATGCAAATCATGATCATATTGTTTCTCTAATTTTAGATGAGATTAAATTAGTATTGATCCCATATAGCTATAGGAAATTATATTCTGCTGCCCCTTTGTCAACTTTTTGCGTAGTTGGCCAAAATCAAATGTGCCACCTACCCTTTTTAACATTAACTAGTATTTTGACTGTGCATTTGCACAAATATAAATAAAATATTGTGAGTTATTTGTATGCATATAATGATTAATTATTTTTCTTTCACGTTTTTGCAGCCAAATTTACAATAAAAGGAGTTGATTTTTTTTTTAAATTGCGTTTATTAGATTGGATGTAACGTATATTTTGGTATGTATTTTTTTTTTTTTGAAAATTATTTATAATTTATTTAGGAGTTTCATATACTTTTTTTATTTTCCAACAAAAATAATTTACATGTAACCATAATAATAATATCTAATCACATTACACGGTAACACATTATATGGTTAACTGTTAGTAATCAAAAGTTGAAAATGATTTTTGTATTTTAAATTGATTAGAGTATTGATTATCTATTAATTAGGTTAAATAAATGAAAAGTAACAGTTTTTGGAGGGAAAATGTAAAAGTGTCACCTAGGTATAATTTATGAGGTTTTCTTAAATGTAGAAGAGCTAGTAATTATATATATATAGATTTTATTTATTTTTGCAGTGAAAAAAAAAATCAACTTTTATTCTTCTTCTAAGGTTATGTTTGGTAAAATTAGCTGATAAGCTAGTTGATAGCTGATAAGCTAGCTTATAGCTTATATTATACTCCCTCCTATTCATAATATTTGTCGTGTTGAGAAATTGCACAGTTATTAAGAATATTTTTTTTGCCAATAATAACCTTCACTAATGAGGATAGAGATGAATGTTTTGAGAAAAGATGAAGAGTGAATATAAAAAAAGATGTAGTATATTTATTAGTTAGATGGGGGTACTCATGGAAAAATATGTACAAAATACCCAAAACGACATTTATTTTGTTAATACTTGATAATGCCAAAATGACATTTAAAAAGAATAGGAGGTAGTATGTAATTTTTAAGCTTATAGCTTATAGCTTATGACTTATAGTTGAAAAGCTAGCTTATATGATAAAAGGTGTTTGGTAAATTAGCTGATAAGCTAGGTGAAATAAAAAATTCAATTAGCTTATTTGAAAAGCTACCTAAAGTAGCTTATGAAATAAGCTCGAGCTTTTTAAAAAAATTCGTTCTACCAAACGAGGCTTATTTTAAACGGAGAACTTATAAGCTAACCAAATAAGTTAAAAGCTAGCTTATTTGGCTTACCAAACATACCCTTAAGATGCGAAAAATTCAAGCGTTTTGATTTGTTAAAAATGGAGTACAGACGCGTTAATGCGTAACTATTACAGTAAATTTGAAATATACTAGTAGAAAGGTCCCAAAAATGTCTTTCTCATGAGACTATGTTCTAACAATTCTCCATCTCACCTTTCTTTCTCCTAATCCCAAACCTTTTTTTCACTCCCTTAAATCTCCATTCGGAGCTTCCTAAGGTGTTCTAAGCATCTCCTTGTCTGATTCCAGATCAGCATAGTCTTGAAAAGCTTTGATTTTTCCCATTTTCCACCCGAAAGAATCACATAAATCTACAGTTTTTGTTCATTTTTGCCGGAGTTTTTCAGTATCCTGGGATCTGAAGTCTTTTTGTATCTGGGTTCTGAAGCTTCTCACAGTTTGAACAAAACCCACTTAAAATTTCATTTTTTTTTTTTTCATTTTAGTATTTAGATTGTCAAAATAGAGTCTTTATCTTTGCTGACTACTGTTTATACTGCAAATCAAGAGACCCCATTTGGCTGAAGGTTCCAAGAAAGTGAATAGTCCCTAAAGATTAGAGCTTTAGCCTCTTTGATTTAGTTTATTGTGGTGTTAATCGAAGTATATAAGTATTTAGTTTCACTTGATCTGTGTTTCTTTTTCTTTGGGACTGGTTTGACTGAATTGTGAAATATATCAAGTTGAATCTTTTGGAATATTTTTTGTATTCAAATGGGGAATTGCTGCGCGGTACCAAAAACTTCTGATAAGAAAAAGAGAAGGGGAAAGCATAAGCCAAACCCATTTGCTTCTGATAGCAATGGCCATGTGCCAAAAGGTGGGCACAAATCTTATGTGTTGCAAAATCCAACCGGAAATAACATCGAGGAATTTTACGAGCTCGGGCGTGAGCTCGGCCGGGGCGAGTTTGGTGTCACGTATTTGTGTACGGATAAAGCCAGCGGTGAATTGTTAGCCTGCAAGTCGATATCGAAAAAGAAGCTTAGGACTAGGGTCGATATTGAGGATGTTAGGCGAGAAGTTGAGATAATGAAGCATTTGCCTAAGCACCCGAATATCGTGAGCTTGAAGCATACTTATGAGGACGATCATGCTGTGCATTTGGTTATGGAGTTGTGTGAAGGTGGTGAGTTGTTTGATAGGATTGTGGCCAGAGGACATTATACGGAGAGGGCTGCAGCAGCCGTGACTCGAACGATTGTTGAGGTTATTCAGGTGAATATTTATTGAATCTATTTTCCCCCCTTTTTTTCCTGTCATCTTTCCTGTGGAGAATTTGTTGGATGAAGAAAGTTTGTTTTGTGCTTGAATGTGTTAATTTCTACTTGTTATGGTGTAATGGTGTTTACATACTTTAGTGCAAAATTTGGTCTATCTTGAGAAGACTTGCTTTTTACAGGGTATTACTAATTTACTATTAATAAGTGTAAATATTTACTCTGGAAAGATGTTAATGTAAACAAGTTTAAAAAGTGCCTTCGGGCATTAAGTGAGACATTTTAACATTTTATTTTCGCGTTTTGCTTCATAGTTGAATCTGTTTTATTGAGCATCATAGTCAGCTGTAGTAATTTGAGGTTAACTGCCCTGCATATTAGGAATTCTCAATTGGTGCTTACTGATTACGTTCACTTTATTTTAGAAGCAGTTCTTGGTCGAATTCAATTGATGTTAAAAAAGTTTTGCATGTGTTGGTTGTTTGGAGAGTTTGATTTATCATGTGAAAAGGCAACTTCTTATGAAGTTGAATAAAGGTTTATCTTGTCTTGAATATCTATCAACATTTGGACTATTATTATTGTTTAGTTTAGTCTGGGTTGTTTTCTGTTTTTCCCATGATGCCTGTATTTTTGTAACTATAATAGATTGTCATTTGTTTGAAAAACAAAAGATAGTTAATTGAAATTGGTTTCTCAATTTTCAACACTTTATATGAAATGTTACATGTTCGCTCATCCGATGTTAAAAGGGAAGAAAATATATTCTTATAGCTTAATTTTATTTTGCAGAATTGCCATAAACACGGGGTGATGCATCGTGATCTGAAGCCCGAAAATTTCTTGTTTGGGAACAAGAAGGAAACAGCACCACTTAAGGCCATTGATTTTGGGCTGTCAGTTTTCTTCAAGCCTGGTAAAACCCAGAACATTATTGATTTGCATCTGTCTGTTTGTAAAATCACCTGTTATCATTGTTTATATCTTATATACCTAATATAGCTCTTGAATATTTATAGGTGAGAGATTCAATGAGATTGTGGGAAGTCCTTACTATATGGCTCCAGAGGTTCTGAAGAGAAATTATGGACCCGAAGTCGATGTTTGGAGTGCGGGTGTTATTCTTTACATCTTATTGTGTGGCGTTCCACCCTTTTGGGCTGGTCAGTTCTTTTTTAACCTATCTTGAAAAAAATTGAAAAAAAAAAAAAAACTAGTTGGGTATAATTGAATTATGGTAGTTTCATATGGTATAATGAGATGATAATTATTGAACCAGCTGACCCAATTTAACATTTTGGATTAAAAAGTGAGCTATCGTTTTGTGTGTTCGTTCGAGCTCCCGTTTTTCCGCATATTCTATAATATTTTTTTTTTGAATTACAGAAACCGAACAAGGTGTTGCCCAAGCAATTATTCGTTCGGTGGTGGATTTCAGAAGAGATCCTTGGCCTAAAGTTTCTGACCGGGCAAAAGATCTCGTCAAGAAGATGCTTAACCCTGACCCCAAACAGCGGCTTACAGCTCAAGAAGTTCTCGGTAAAAACTTATATAGCACATTTGTCCAAAACTTATAATTTTGCATCCCGGGCCAACTTTTTTTTTTTTTTTTTATAAATCCTTTGTTGAAACAGTTAAATTAAACCTGCTTTTTTTTTTTTCAGATCATCCTTGGTTACAGAATGCAAAGAGTGCTCCTAATGTTTCTCTGGGTGAAACTGTGAAAGCTCGGCTCAAACAGTTCTCGATGATGAATAAGCTGAAGAAAAGGGCTCTGAGGGTAATAAACTAATAATACAAAAACGAAAAAAATCCTATTTTTCTTGGACCCATTTTATTAAATATATATTGTCTTAAATTCAGTTTACTCATTACTCGTTTTGCTTTCCAAATGCAGGTGATTGCTGAGCATTTGTCGGTTGAGGAAGTTGCAGGGATTAAAGAAGGATTTCAATTGATGGACACGAACAACAAGGGTAAAATCGACATTAACGAGTTGAGAGTTGGGCTGCACAAGCTCGGTTATCAGATTCCTGAAAGCGATCTTCAAGCTCTTATGGAAGCTGTGAGTGCCGCCTTTTTTTTTTCCTTCATGAAATTTCTCATTTGGGTCATTAAGATAAGATTAAAAATTTATTTATTTATTTAAGATGAGGTAACAAGTTTTTTTTTTTTAACAGGGTGACGTGGATAAAGATGGATATCTCGACTGTGGTGAGTTTGTTGCGATCTCTGTACACCTGAAGAAGATGGGAAATGATGAGCATCTCAAGAAAGCCTTTGATTTCTTTGATAAAAATGAGAGTGGATACATAGAAATCGAAGAGCTCAGGGATGCATTTGCTGACGAGGCAGAGGAAACGAGCGAGGAAGTCATTAACGCAATTATTCAAGATGTCGACACAGATAAGGTCAGTTAATCCTTCTTCCTATATAAGCTTTGAGAATAACTTTTTTTCATTAATGATTTTTATATGCTCCTTCCAAAAAAAGAAAAGGTTTACGTACTGTACTAGTAGTACAATACCTGTATATTACGTGGGTCTTTGTTAAGAAAATTTATATCTAAAATTAAAATAAAATTGTTTCGATTTTCAAATACGTTTTAAATAATTAAGTTACTATTTATATTTAAAATAACACTCATCACTTATACGGATTACCATCGTATATTATAATAATTTTTTTAATTATATCATTTAACAACTTTGTAGTTAAATTAATTTAATTAATTTTATTTTTTTTATTATTTAATTTTTATTATAAATAAATATAATTATTTATTTATTTTGTATGTACAATATAAGTGTCAAATCGAAGCTCATCAAGGACATATTATGTATAAAAAATTGATAATAAATAAAAAATTATTAAATTTTAAATTCACTTATAATTTAAGTTACTAATTTTCTAATAATTTCAAAATAAAGATGAGGAAAAAAGAAAGATTGAGGAAAAAAAATTATGCCTTATAAATCACGTCTAGAGAAATACGAAATGTAACATAATTAATGCTCTTGAAAGGGCCATAAATGTCTAGAATATACAAACCTAATTATTTTTGGATTAAGAGTATATTAAAAATTCATTCAAGCCAAATAACAAAGCATGAAAATTCGCCACATAGGATCCCGAATCATGCGAGTCTCCCACTTAAGTTTAGCACATTCAGAAATTATATATAAGAGGACAATTTCACTGTGAATTTATTTGACAGGGCATACAAAATCCCCTTCGTTTGCAGCTACACTAATGTCACAGTTTGATGTCTACCAATCACATCAAACTAAAGAACTAAAATAACTAAAAAACATAGGGAAAAAAAAAAAGATAATCTGATGAGG